AAACACATTGTTAGACCTGATATTCAGGGATAAGGAATGTTGGAAATAGTAATGGAAGATATTGAAAAATCTTAAACTGGATCAACCAACCATGTTAGTGAACCCTGCTAATATGGAGCTAATACATGTAGAAAGAATAGCAGCAGCTCTGGCAAAGACAATAGGTCCTAGCATGCAAGCACAGAGCGATAATATGATAAGGGCTATTAAACTGACCCTTTTTGGAAATGGGATTTTCCGTTACATAACGGAAGACTCGATTCAGGCCTTAAAGAACGCTTTACAAACAAGTCAGGGAGTGTTAAATGTGTTGCTATGTTGCTCAAAAGGGAACTTACACTTTTGAGAAGAGATCTCCCTTTCTCGGTCCTGAGGTGCTGCTGACTCAAAGCAGCATACAGGGTCAAAGACAGGCGTGACCTCTGGAGAGGAAGAAAATCTAAATCTGAACAGACCACAGAGCCCATTAAAAGGTTTTATGGCCTCTACACTGAGAGGAAGATCTGGAGATTGTAAGGAACTCTCCCTGAATATCCACCCCCACACCATTGAGGGGAAGAGTGTTCCTTTCACCAATACACAAATCATCTCTTAACCAAGTCAGATTTCAAAATAGCCATACCTCAAGTTGTTAAGAAAAGAGGGAGATTCAAAAAGTTATCAATAAATTGCCCAGTATATTAAATAAATACAAACAGACACGTATCAATATAAGTCAGATAATATAGACGAGGTCAATCATGGAAGAAGGCTGACATTTCATGCCTGATATATAAGTAATAGTAATAATAAATATATAGCTGATATTAAATAACTGATGTATAAGGCTCGATATTTCTGAAAATAGGAACACCGTTAACGGCGTTCTATTTCAGTAAAAGGGGGAAAAGGATAGGATATACATCAGACAATATGTATGTGAGATTATTACGTTTTTAGGAGAAATTTATCAATTTAAAATACTAGTTATGGTATTTTTTGTTTTGTTTTATTTGTTGCTTTTAAGAGAAATTGATACATTTAAAATAATCTAGCTTTGGTTATTTTTTGTTTTGTTAGTTTGTTCCTTTTTTGTTTTATTTTTATTTTTGTTCTATTTTTTATTTTTATTTTTATTTTGATTTTTGATTTTGATTTTTGATTTTGATTTTTTGAGATGATTTCAAAACCATATACAAAAGCAACTTAAGGGCTTGGTATGAGACTTCTCCACACAGGCTGCTGACGTTAAAAGGGGGACCCGAGAAACACAAGGCCAACACAGCAGATTACGTCTGGTTGGAGGGGACCTCCCATGCCGTTCGCCTAGATGGAAAGGGAGACAACTGGTACCACTGGAGCCAGTGTGCGGTCGGGAAAAACACCTGCGAGGACCCTGGACGACATCAGGACAGAGTTGGCCCTCGTCGCGAGGACCCTGGACGACATCAGAACAGATCTGGCTCTCGTCAAGGCAGTCGACCCAGGAGGCGCCATCAGCGGGCCGGAGGAGGAGGATCAGGACATCTCTCCAGCAGTCGACCCAGGAGGCGCCATCAGCAGTCCGGAGGAGGAGGATCGGGAGGACATCTCTCCAACAGTCGACCCGGAAGCCGCCATCAGCGGGCCGGGGGAGGACAATCAGGCCACATCTCTCTAGCAAGCACCCCAGAAGCCGCCGTCAGCGGGCTGGGGGGACGAAGACATGGCAAACCAAGACGGCACAGGGAACTCCATTTCCCGCTGAAACAGGTTGATATAGCCGGTGTGGAACTTTGTCTGAACAATCCATTTTTTTTGAGGAACTTTCAACTTTATTTTTATATCCCATAATGTAAGGGATTTGTATTTTTTATTCTACAGAACTATGTGTTACCAAAAGAGGGAAAAGTATGATAATGTCTTTTCTGATTTCTGTGGCTACTTCTATTGCCATTTTAGTGACATGTGGTTGTTGTTGTTGTGTGCCTTGTATCTGCTCACTGTGTGTTAGACTCATCAGTTCCACCATTGAGGGAAGAGTAAAGATGACTCAGCTGACAAGGACTTTGCTTTTTAGACATATTTTATTCTCCCTCCACTGTCATAATAAGTTGTTGTTGTGGACTGTTCCTAAAGGTTTAAAGTGCTCTATATCCCAACTTCTGATGGGTTTATATAAATGTTGGGACAGACACAGTAAGAAGAAAATTGACAGTGGTAATGTTTCAAATGCTATATGTTGATCTCGTGAGGTGAGATCAAAAGAGGGATTGAAGTAAGAAGATATGATTCTACACTGTATTGAAGTAAACATGTATTGTTTGAACTGTTTTATGTAATCACAACGGTTTGGGTAATTATATATAGAATAGGAATGTTATTCTCACTTTCAAACTCACTGACTTAGAGATTCTGTGTTTCACACACCAACATTGATCCTTATCACCACTAAGAGCCAGATGCTGTTTCTAAGTCGTTAAAGACATCGTAAAATAAGAAAAGATCCCCTGGAAAAGGTAGGGAGGGGAGATCGGGACGGAGATAACATTGACTTTTGACCTAGTGTGGTTTGGGGTCTCACTCTGTTCGAAACTCTGATTGACCTCGGCCAGAAGCGAATCCAGCCAATCAGGACACTTGGAGGAGGTGGTCAGTTTAAACAGCTCCTCCCCAGGGCTTCTCTGATTCGCTTGGGAGAAAAGTGGGAAGGAAGAATCGACAAATCTCCGCCCCAAAGACAGATAGAAATACTGACGTTTGTGTGTGTAAAATTGCTTTTGGGTTTGGTGAGTTGGTTTGATCCCGATATCTGTGTCCGAATCGCATCACAGACCTGAAGTCCAATTTCTTTTTGGTTTGATGAGTTGGTTTGATCCCGATATCTGTGTCCGAATCGCATCACAGACCTGAAGTCCAATTTCTTTTTGGTTTGATGAGTTGGTTTGATCCCGATGCATTTATCCGAATCGCATCACAAATCTAAAAGCCCGGGGTACCCGGAGTACTCTGTATAACTTGTATATGTGTTTGGTTTCCTACTAGAAGTAAACTCAGATAATTTGTTATAACTTTGATTCCGGTGTTTTCAATTCCTTTCTTAATTTAATAGAGATCCAGCCTCATCCAACGAACGGCGCGTAGCAGAGGTATTCTACTCCTACAACTGTTGGAGGAGCCTGTGACCTAAGATGTTCATTGTCATAACTACACTAGCTATGTTCGTATGACAAAATAAAAAACCTTGAACCTTGAGGCTGTGTCTTTCAGACAAACCATCATAATCATATTATTTTATGCTGTGGATACTTTAGCCTCCATCCATGTTAACAATTTTTTACACTTGCATTTATGAATATAGTTCTGTTGTGTTTTACACTTTTGTATTTATGTTTATAGTTTGCTTTGATATTTGCTTAATTTATTAGATTATTATTATGGGGGCAGTACTGGTGCTTGAAATTCAAATATTTACTAAATAGTCAATTCTGATAACATTTTTTTGGTTTAAATAATTTGACAAACACATGTATGTGAAAAAGAAAAGATGTATTTATGTTCAATACAATACAATGAATATTTAGGTATTACACGTAGGTTTTCCTCAGGCATCCTGAAGTTCTCCACCCACTGAGTGTGTGAAAGATGGAACAATCACATTCCACCACTCGGTAGCTCGGTCGGTAACTTCTGAAATACACAAACAAAAGCATACATATTTTAATACGTAAAAGTGGTAGCTACAATTAATTAAATACTTGAAATACTTTGGTCGTATAGGGAGAGTGAGCCTAAACACATTGCTAGTTAGCGAACGTTAGCTTACCAAGTAGCATTGTAGTTAGTAGTGATTCGAGTCGTCCTGTAGTCTCTGCGGCGTAGGAGGACTGCCCGAACTCTCGCGTCAGCTTCTTCTATACCTCGTCTTGCTATACGTCGCCTCTTTCGAAACAACTCTTGTCTATTTCTTGTGATAATAAACCACACAGCAAAAAACAAGCAAACGATCGCTTTCACATCTCCATTGTTGTGTCGCATTGAAGATGACGTCACGGCAGTTTTAAGCAGCGTCGCTCCGCCTACACTGTGTTACTATAGATACTGACCCGGTTCCTAAACTGTAATGGAAACGCGCCACAAAGTGAGCTGGTCCTAACGAGGCCGGGCACGGCCAAAGGAGGCCGAGCGGGGCCGAGCGAGGCTGTGTAGTGGAAACGCGGCATTAGAAACGTAAAATGTGACGGCAGTGTGCTGATGGGGAAGCATGTTAGCTTAGCTTCTTAGCTTGAGCTAGCTCTGTTACTTCCCAGCTGGAGGCAGAAGGTCCCGCCTCGGCTCCGCCTCTTTGCCCTTATTTGGAGCAGGCTGGAGCAGGCGGGAGTTAGACTCAAACGTCACTGTCGAGCCGTTAGTGGCCGACTCCGCCTACTAAGGGCTTCTCGGCAACTCTGCAGAATCCTATGGGTGACGTCACGGACCCTACGTCCATTTATATATACAGTCTATGAGCCAACCACGGCGGAATATTACTGCCAAAAGTCACGTGAGTGAGTCACGTGAGTGAGTCACGTGACTTTTGGCAGTAATATTCCGCCGTGAGAAGAAAAAGTGTTGTAGTTGTAATACAAAGTTGTGTACTTGTAAAGCCTAAGCTGAATTTGTCTCTGAAACATGATTTATTAGAGAAATGTTATGTGTTTATTTGATAGATACGTTTTTTCTTTGCAAAACTAAATGCATTAGTTTGTAGATGGTGTTTTGTGTTTGCAAACCACATTGTGTTTGTTAGTGAATCATGAGGCATTTGTAAAACCTGTTTAGTTTATTTGTGGAGTTATGGCAGGAAATTAGCTCCATACACTCGCATCTCCTCAAGGATAGGAGTCGAGGAGGGGAAATTAGAGTATTGAGAAGCCTCTATTGTTTACTCTCATTGTTTATTCTCATTGTTTACTCTCATTGTTTTCCTGTCGAGCCCTTTTGTCCCGCGCTTGGATTAATAAAGGGGTTCTGCTTTTACTCTGAAAGGGTGTGCAGACCGGATGTAACCAGAGCGCCATTTTGCACACGAAGAGCCGATCACCATCCGAGCTTTTGGACTCTTTGTCCCGAAGAGACAGAAGTTCAGAACCAGCCGAGCCGGACCGGACAGAACCAGCCGGACCGTACCTAACCCTAACCCTAACGGGACCGGAACCGGACCGAGATGGAGGTGTTTGTTGTTCAGGCGGATGTGATCCTACAGGCGGGACTTCAGTCCGCGGTGTGTGAGCTCCATCCCGGGGGGTCGCGAGCTCCTGACAGGGTGAGGGCACACTCAACTATATCCTGTACTCTTACATCTTATTATATATTCATATAAATGTGTTTATACGTGGAAATACGGGTTTATCTGAGAGGATAGAGAGAGAAATCCCTCCGTCACTTCCGGCTTTGCTTTAGGCTTGTAATCACGCGAGACGACAGCAACGTGATTAAGATGCAGTCTAAACATACTAATACTACAGTCTAAACATACTAATACAGTCTAAACATACTAATACTACAGTCTAAACATACTAATATCACAGTCTAAACATACTATTACCACAGTCGAAACATACTACAGTCGAAACATACTATTACTACAGTCGAAACATACTATTACCACAGTCGAAACATACTACAGTCGAAACATACTATTACTACAGTCTAAACATACTATTACTACAGTCGAAACATACTAATACTACAGTCGAAACATACTATTACTATAGTCGAAACATACTATTACCACAGTCTAAACATACTAATACTACAGTCTAAACATACTAATACTACAGTCTGAACATACTATTACCACAGTTTAAACATACTACAGTCCAAAAATACTAATACTACAGTCTAAACATACTATTACCACAGTCTAAACATACTATTACTACAGTCTAACCATACTATTACCACAGTAAATAGTATGGTTAGACATACTGCAAGTTAAAGTACTAATACCACAGTCTAGATACTGCAAGTTAAAGTACTAATACCACAGTCTAGATACTGCAAGTTAAAGTACTAATACCACAGTCTAGATACTGCAAGTGAAAGTACTAATACCACAGTCTAGATACTGCAAGTTAAAGTACTAATACCACAGTCTAGATACTGCAAGTTAAAGTACTAATACCACAGTCTAGATACTGAAAGTTAAAGTACTAATACCACAGTCTAGATACTGCAAGTGAAAGTACTCGTACCACAGTCTAAACATACTACAAGTTAAAGTACTCATACCCCCTGTGCACCCTGTGTTTCCTGCAGGATCAGCTGACTGCCGTCCTCCGGATGATGACCAGAGAGGCGCTGCGTAAAATCAGCCGAGTCTTCAGAGAGCTCTACGTCCGCCTGGAGACAGAAAACAGATCTCTGAAGGACAAAGTGCTCCATCTGGAGTCAGAGGGCGAGAAGACTGTTTATAAGATCCAACCATCAGGTGAGGAGACACACATATTATATAGAAATCTATGAGAAAAGGTTCCTCTTGATTTATTACCTCAGATTGTATAGAAGTCTATGAGAAAATGTAATTTATATTAATATAAATGATTGACGTCAGTAAAGGACCCGTTGCAACATGTTTTCTGTCTCGCTGTTCTTACAGATGGACCCGCCCTCTCACTGGACATCAACCAATCAGCAGTGAACCCTACAGCGCTCGCCATGGCGATCCTCTCCTCCTCCAAACAGCGAGCTAACAGCAGTTCTCAGGTTCCTCTGGTCATCGTCAGCCAGCCGCTGCCTCAACCAATCACAGGCCAAAGCCCCGCCCCCCAGGACCTACAGATGCAGACAGACTTGCAGACGGACCTGCAGACGCAGACCGGTCTGCAGACCGGTCTGCAGACACAGACAGACCTGCAGACGGACCTGCAGATGCAGACAGACCTGCAGACCGGTCTGCAGACGCAGACAGACCTGCAGACGGGCCTGCAGACGCAGTCAGACCTGCAGACGCATTCAGACCTGCAGACGGACCTGCAGACGGGCCTGCAGACGGGCCTGCAGACGCATTCAGACCTGCAGACGGACCTGCAGACGGGCCTGCAGACGCAGTCAAACCTGCAGACTGACCTGCAGTCAGACCTGCAGACGCAGTCAAACCTGCAGACTGACCTGCAGTCAGACCTGCAGACGGACCTGCAGACAGACCTGCAGACGGACCTGCAGATGGAGGTGGTGTTAGAAATGTTCTCCACACATCCTGAAGAATCACCTGCAGGCATGACATCACTTCCTATGTCTGATGGTCAGCCAATCAGTGATCCCTCAGTTGAACCAGTGACACACCTGACACCTGAGGACCAGGATGTTGTTGTAAGTCTGACACTGTCCACATTTAGAAAGAACTGTTTATAAGAACTTTCACAATAAAAGCCTCCAGTGGGTGGCCCTCCCCTTCCTGAGGCTTTTAATGCGAAAACCAGGTCAACAACATAAATACATTTTTTAACTCATTATCATTTCTTTAATGTCTGTTTTCACTGATGCTGAGGATTAATAATGCATCATATTTTAAAATACACAAGACTAAATAAATAAATCACTGCTGTTTGTTTTCCAGGAAACAGCAGTGGAGGCTGACAGTCAACCAGGTGAGACTTCAGAGTTATTCAATATTATAATTATTACATAATTAGATCAAATAAGAACCAGGAGACACCTTATAATATGGTTTATTAAATATAATACTTATATAAAATACACCGCCTGGACGCAGCTCCTACATTTTGAATGTCCTTATATATTGTAGCGTGAACCCAACAGGAAGTCACCTTTTACTTTGTGACCATTTGACTGTGCCGCACTTTATCAAACTCTTCCTACAGTTTTAATCCTATCAACACCGACTTTAATGCGTTGCGGCCGACTTTAACGTGTTGCGTTGCAGCTGACTTTAACGTGTTGCGGCTGACTTTAATGTGTTGCGGCTGACTTTAACGTGTTGCAGCTGACTTTAACGTGTTGTGTTGCAGCTGACTTTAACGTGTTGTGTTGCAGCTGACTTTAACGTGTTGTGTTGCAGCTGACTTTAACGTGTTGTGTTGCAGCTGACTTTAACGTGTTGCAGCTGACTTTAACGTGTTGTGTTGCAGCTGACTTTAACGTGTTGTGTTGCAGCTGACTTTAACGTGTTGTGTTGCAGCTGACTTTAACGTGTTGTGTTGCAGCTGACTTTAACATGTTGTGTTGCGGCTGACTTTAACGTGTTGCAGCTGACTTTAACGTGTTGTGTTGCAGCTGACTTTAACGTGTTGTGTTGCAGCTGACTTTAACGTGTTGTGTTGCGGCTGACTTTAACATGTTGTGTTGCGGCTGACTTTAACATGTTGTGTTGCGGCTGACTTTAACGTGTTGCAGCTGACTTTAACATGTTGTGTTGCAGCTGACTTTAACATGTTGTGTTGCGGCTGACTTTAACATGTTGTGTTGCAGCTGACTTTAACGTGTTGTGTTGCAGCTGACTTTAACGTGTTGCGGCTGACTTTAACGTGTTGTGTTGCAGCTGACTTTAACGTGTTGCAGCTGACTTTAACGTGTTGCAGCTGACTTTAACGTGTTGTGTTGCAGCTGACTTTAACGTGTTGCAGCTGACTTTAACGTGTTGCAGCTGACTTTAACATGTTGCAGCTGACTTTAACGTGTTGTGGCTGACTTTAACGTGTTGTGTTGCAGCTGACTTTAACGTGTTGTGTTGCAGCTGACTTTAACGTGTTGCAGCTGACTTTAACGTGTTGTGTTGCAGCTGACTTTAACATGTTGTGTTGCGGCTGACTTTAACATGTTGTGTTGCAGCTGACTTTAACGTGTTGTGTTGCGGCTGACTTTAACATGTTGTGTTGCAGCTGACTTTAACGTGTTGTGTTGCAGCTGACTTTAACATGTTGTGTTGCAGCTGACTTTAACGTGTTGTGTTGCAGCTGACTTTAACGTGTTGCGGCTGACTTTAACGTGTTGTGTTGCAGCTGACTTTAACGTGTTGCAGCTGACTTTAACGTGTTGCAGCTGACTTTAACGTGTTGTGTTGCAGCTGACTTTAACGTGTTGTGTTGCAGCTGACTTTAACGTGTTGCAGCTGACTTTAACATGTTGCAGCTGACTTTAACGTGTTGTGTTGCAGCTGACTTTAACGTGTTGTGTTGCAGCTGACTTTAACGTGTTGCAGCTGACTTTAACGTGTTGTGTTGCAGCTGACTTTAACGTGTTGTGTTGCAGCTGACTTTAACGTGTTGCAGCTGACTTTAACGTGTTGTGTTTGCAGCTGACTTTAACATGTTGTGTTGCGGCTGACTTTAACATGTTGTGTTGCAGCTGACTTTAACGTGTTGTGTTGCGGCTGACTTTAACATGTTGTGTTGCAGCTGACTTTAACGTGTTGTGTTGCGGCTGACTTTAACGTGTTGTGTTGCGGCTGACTTTAACGTGTTGTGTTGCAGCTGACTTTAACGTGTTGTGTTGCAGCTGACTTTAACATGTTGTGTTGCAGCTGACTTTAACATGTTGTGTTGCAGCTGACTTTAACATGTTGTGTTGCAGCTGACTTTAACATGTTGTGTTGCAGCTGACTTTAACGTGTTGCGGCTGACTTTAACGTGTTGTGGCTGACTTTAACGTGTTGTGTTGCAGCTGACTTTAACGTGTTGTGTTGCAGCTGACTTTAACGTGTTGCAGCTGACTTTAACGTGTTGTGTTGCAGCTGACTTTAACGTGTTGTGTTGCAGCTGACTTTAACGTGTTGCAGCTGACTTTAACGTGTTGTGTTGCGGCTGACTTTAACATGTTGTGTTGCAGCTGACTTTAACGTGTTGTGTTGCAGCTGACTTTAACGTGTTGTGTTGCAGCTGACTTTAACGTGTTGCAGCTGACTTTAACGTGTTGTGTTGCAGCTGACTTTAACGTGTTGTGTTGCAGCTGACTTTAACGTGTTGTGTTGCAGCTGACTTTAACGTGTTGCGGCTGACTTTAACGTGTTGCGGCTGACTTTAACGTGTTGTGTTGCAGCTGACTTTAACGTGTTGCAGCTGACTTTAACGTGTTGTGTTGCAGCTGACTTTAACGTGTTGCGGCTGACTTTAACGTGTTGCGGCTGACTTTAACGTGTTGTGTTGCAGCTGACTTTAACGTGTTGTGTTGCAGCTGACTTTAACGTGTTGTGTTGCGGCTGACTTTAACGTGTTGTGTTGCGGCTGACTTTAACGTGTTGTGTTGCGGCTGACTTTAACGTGTTGCGGCTGACTTTAACGTGTTGTGTTGCGGCTGACTTTAACGTGTTGTGTTGCAGCTGACTTTAACGTGTTGCGGCTGACTTTAACGTGTTGCGGCTGACTTTAACATGTTGTGTTGCAGCTGACTTTAACGTGTTGTGTTGCAGCTGACTTTAACGTGTTGTGTTGCAGCTGACTTTAACGTGTTGTGTTGCAGCTGACTTTAACGTGTTGTGTTGCAGCTGACTTTAACGTGTTGCGGCTGACTTTAACGTGTTGTGGCTGACTTTAACGTGTTGCGGCTGACTTTAAAGCGTTGTGTTGTGGCTGACATTAACGTGTTGCGGCTGACTTTAACGCGTTGTGTTGCAGCTGACTTTAACGTGTTGCGGCTGACTTTAACGTGTTGCGGCTGACTTTAACGTGTTGTGTTGCGGCTGACTTTAACGTGTTGTGTTGCGGCTGACTTTAACGTGTTGTGTTGCGGCTGACTTTAACGTGTTGTGTTGCGGCTGACTTTAACGTGTTGCGGCTGACTTTAACGTGTTGTGTTGCGGCTGACTTCAACGTGTTGCGGCTGACATTAACGTGTTGCGGCTGACTTTAACGTGTTGCGGCTGACTTTAACGTGTTGCGGCTGACTTTAAAGCGTTGTGTTGCGGCTGACTTTAACGTGTTGCGGCTGACTTTAACGCGTTGTGTTGCGGCTGACTTTAACGTGTTTCGTTGCAGCGCTGAGCCCGGAGCAGCAGAAGGAGACGGACAGGAGGAGGAGGCGGGAGCTGTACAAGGAGAAGAGGTTTTTCTGTGAGTTGTGTAACAAAGGCTTCCACCAGCAGCATCAGCTGAAGAAACATGTTTCCTGCCACCTGAAGCCGTTCCCTTGTAGCTCCTGCGATAAAGGCTTCTATAAAGCCCGCAGTCTGCAGAAACACGAGCAGAGCCACAAGCTGCAGGCGGCGCAGGAGAGCGACCCGGAGAAGCTGCTGCGCTGCGACGCCTGCAGCAGGACCTTCCGGCTGCAGAGGCAGCTGCGCTCTCACCAGGCTGCGCAGCACCGAGAGCAGCAGCTGCACTGCAGCGTCTGCCCCCGCAGCTTCACCTCAGCCGCAGCGCTGCGATACCACCAGGTGTCGCACGCCGCCGTCAAGCCCTTCATGTGCGACGTCTGTGGAAAAGGCTTCACCAGGAAGAAGAGTCTGCGCGAGCATCAGACGGTGCACAGCGGCGCGCGACCCTACCCCTGCGCTGCCTGCGGGAAGAGCTTCTCCACCGCCAGCAACCTGCGCGTCCACAAGAGGTCGCATTCAGACGAGCGGCCGCACAAGTGCCTCCAGTGCGACAAAGCCTTCAAGAGCAGGATGGGCCTGCTGCAGCACCGCCTGGTTCACTCCGGGGAGAAACCCTTCACCTGTCCCACCTGCGGACTCAGCTTCGGACTCAAGTACAACTTCCAGAGACACGTGCGGCTGCACAACGGGGAGAAACCCTTCAGGTATACTACTTCCTGTCTGTCTCCTGACTTCCTGTCTGTCTCCCGACTACCTGTCTCCCGACTACCTGTCTGTCTCCTGACTACCTGTCTGTCTCCTGACTACCTGTCCATCTCTACCTGTCTGTCTCCTGACTACTTGTCTGTCTCCTGACTACCTGTCTGTCTCCTGACTACCTGTCTGTCTCCTGACTACTTGTCTGTCTCCTGACTACCTGTCTGTCTCCTGACTACCTGTCTGTCTCCTGACTACTTGTCTGTCTCCTGTCCACCTGTCCATCTCTACCTGTCTGTCTCCTGACTACCTGTCTGTCTCCTGACTACCTGTCCGTCTCTACCTGTCTGTCTCTACCTGTCTGTCTCCTGACTACCTGTCCATCTCTACCTGTCTGTCTCCTGTCTACCTGTCCATCTCTACCTGTCTGTCTCCTGACTACCTGTCCATCTCTACCTGTCTGTCTCCTGACTACTTGTCTGTCTCCTGACTACCTGTCCATCTCTACCTGTCTGTCTCCTGACTACTTGTCTGTCTCCTGACTACCTGTCCATCTCTACCTGTCTGTCTCCTGTCTACCTGTCTGTCTCCTGACTACCTGTCCATCTCTACCTGTCTGTCTCCTGACTACCTGTCCATCTCTACCTGTCTGTCTCTACCTGTCTGTCTCCTGAGTACCTGTCCATCTCTACCTGTCTGTCTCCTGTCTACCTGTCTGTCTCCTGACTACTTGTCTGTCTCCTGACTACCTGTCCATCTCTACCTGTCTGTCTCCTGTCTACCTGTCCATCTCTACCTGTCTGTCTCCTGACTACTTGTCTGTCTCCTGACTACCTGTCCATCTCTACCTGTCTGTCTCCTGTCTACCTGTCCATCTCTACCTGTCTGTCTCCTGTCTACCTGTCTGTCTCCTGACTACCTGTCCATCTCTACCTGTCTGTCTCCTGTCTCAGGTGTGAGAAGTGTGGAGAAGGTTTTTCTGGAACGTGGGCCCTGAAGAGCCACATGCTGGTCCACGGTGTGGAGAAGCCCTTCATGTGTGACCTGTGTGGAAAGACCTTCTTCTATAACTGCCAGCTGCAGAAGCACCAGCAGCTGGTCCACGGGGAGAAGGAGCGTCGGGGGGGTGGCGCGGCGGGGAGGCGGAGAGAAACCGTAGAGAAACCGTTCGGCTGTAAAGTCTGTCTGAAGAGCTTCAGCAGCTCCGCCACGCTCAGGACGCACGAGAAGAGCCACGCCGAGAACAAGGAGTTCAGCTGCGACTCCTGCGGGAAGACCTTCCACCTGAGACACCTGTACCTGTACCACCTGAGGACGCACAGCGGGGAGCGGCCGCACGTCTGCGCCGTCTGCAGCAAAGGCTTCCTGTTGCAGTCGCAGCTGAAGCAGCACGAGCTGCTGCACACCGGAGAGAAGCCGCACCGCTGCCAGACCTGCGGGAAGGAGTTCAGGACGCCGCAGAACTACCACCGCCACCTGCTGGTCCACAGCGGAGAGAAGCCCTACGCCTGCTCCGTCTGCAGCCGCAAGTTCAGGCAGTCCAACCAGCTGAAGTCTCACATGCAGATCCACACCGGCGTCAAGCTGTACTCCTGCCAGCGCTGCAACCACGGCTTCTCCGACTCCAGACAGCTGAAGAAGCACCGCTGCGGAGACGAGCTGCAGCCGAAGAAGCACCGCTGAGGAGACGAGGAGACGAGCTGCAGCCGAAGAAGCACCGCTGAGGAGACGAGGAGACGAGCTGCAGCCGAAGAAGCACCGCTGAGTAGACGAGGAGACGAGCTGCAGCCGAAGAAGCACCGCTGAGTAGACGAGGAGACGAGCTGCAGCCGAAGAAGCACCGCTGAGGAGACGAGGAGACGAGCTGCAGCCGAAGAAGCACCGCTGAGGAGACGAGGAGACGAGCTGCAGCCGAAGAAGCACCGCTGAGGAGACGAGGAGACGAGCTGCAGCCGAAGAAGCACCGCTGAGGAGACGAGGAGACGAGCTGCAGCCGAAGAAGCACCGCTGAGGAGACGAGCTGCAGCCGAAGAAGCACCGCTGAGGAGACGAGGAGCCGAGGAGACGAGCTGCAGCCGAAGAAGCACCGCTGAGGAGACGAGGAGACGAGCTGCAGCCGAAGAAGCACCGCTGAGGAGATGAGGAGCCGAGGAGACGAGCTGCAGCCGAAGAAGCACCGCTGAGGAGACGCGCTGGCAGCTGAAGAAGCACCGCTGAGGAACACGAGGAGACGAGCTGCAGCTGAAGAAGCACTGCTGAGGAGACCGAGAGACGAGCTGCAGCCGAAGAAGCACCGCTGAGGAGACGAGGGAGACGAGCTGCAGCCGAAGAAGCACCGCTGAGGAGACGAGCTGCAGCCAAAGAAGCACCGCTGAGGAGACGAGGAGCCGAGGAGACGAGCTGCAGCCGAAGAAGCACCGCTGAGGAGACGAGCTGCAGCTGAAGAAGCACCGCTGAGGAAACGAGGAGACGAGCTGCAGCTGAAGAAGCACTGCTGAGGAGACGAGGAGACGAGCTGCAGCCGAAGAAGCACCGCTGAGGAGACGAGGAGACGAGCTGCAGCCGAAGAAGCACCGCTGAGGAGACGAGGAGACGAGCTGCAGCCGAAGAAGCACTGCTGAGGAGACGAGGAGAGGAGCTGCAGCCAAAGAAGCACCGCTGAGGAGACGAGGAGACGAGCTGCAGCCAAAGAAGCACCGCTGAGGAGACGAGCCTAGCTTAGCATCTCTGTGTGGACTCCTTTCTTTTTTTATATGAAAACAGACTTTATGATGAAAACCAGAAGAGATTCAGTTTGTAGTTTTTTATGATAATTATTCTGAAGTAAATAAAATCTGAAACCAGTTCCTGTCTCTCTCTCTCTTATCATCATCATCATCATCATCATCATCATCATCAGTGTATATAATTGATATATTTAATCTCTTTCATTATCCTGGATAAGATGCAGAACAATCGAACACTACACGCACCGTGCCCTTCTTTGGGTGATGAACCCCATGGTGTGGTGGTATGTGATGAACCCCATGGTGTGGTGGTATGTGATGAACCCCATGGTGTGGTGGTACGTGATGAACCCCATGGTGTGGTGGTATGTGATGAACCCCATGGTGTGGTGGTATGTGATGAACCCCATGGTGTGGTGGTACGTGATGAACCCCATGGTGTGGTGGTACGTGATGAACCCCACCCCATGGTGTGGTGGTATGTGATGAACCCCATGATGTGGTGGTATGTGATGAACCCCAT